CAGGTCCAAGCACACTGTGTGTGAAATGGCACAACACTTCATCTCTAATGGCAAGATAGCCGACATATTAAGATTGTATCCACTTTTTTGCTCTTAGTAACTATGTCAGTTCTCATGTACAGAACCAAATACACAATGTGCTTGAATACTTCTTACGCATATGTGAATAACAAAGTGTGAGGCCAGACATACTGCCTCACACGCCTGTACTCACGCATTACTGCCTCACACGTCTGTACTCACGCATTTGTGAATAAGTTACCCTTTATGTATAGAACTAAACAAATAATGTAATTGAAATACTGTGTAACATTCAGTGCCATAATACCCTGACAATGGGGGTTAATTATTATGACCCGTTGTGAACTCTACTCTGTAATCCTTTTGCGCTACCGCTCATAAGATGAGTGTGGGGTGCACAATAAAGTAGCCGCTGTTAGCGGCAAAATCAAAATCAATCGCTTCCAGTTAGTACGTGACACGTGTCATGGGGTGTATGTTTGTTCGTTCGTCTGGTTTTCCGTCTAAGGAGTCGGAGAAGTTCGCACACGTATATACTGCGCACACACACACACACACACACACACACACACACACACACACATACACACTTGTCACTTAGGGTAGGTGATTTCAAGCTGGGTCAAGGTACTTAAGGTAATTTCAGTTAGTTAAAGTTAGATTAGATTGGGTTAAGTTGGATCAAGATAGATTAAGTTTGGTTAAGTTAGTCTAAGTTAAATTAGGTTAAGGTACCAATATTTTAAGTTAGATTAATCACTTAAGTTAAGGCACCTTTAGGTAAGTTAGGTTAGATTTGGTGAGTTAGATAATGTTAGGTAGGCTAAGTTAGAAATCATCACCAAGTAAGTTCATGTTAGTTTAGGGCAGGTAGGGTCAGGTTATAGGCTGCAGTAGGTCATGTCAGGTTAGGTTAGGTGAACGCCCAATAAATAAATTAATAATTACACTGAGTCACAGCCTTTATTAACTACATACACTTAATACTGAATCTTTGAACGTAAGAAAAAGGACGAGAGAATGATAAAGAAAGAAAGAAAAAATGTAGTATGATAGAGAAACGAAGGGAAAAAAGAGAAAAGTTGAGGGAAATAAGAGTACAAGGAGAAACAATACGTAGTTAACAGAAAAATTAAGGAACGTTTATAGGGTAACGCAGAGAGAGAGGGAGAGTGACGGAGAAGGCCAATGGAAGCGTCAACACACGGAATACAAACAAGGGTTTCCCCGGGGTGAGTGTCCTGGCTTGGTTCGAACCCTAGATTGGTGTGTGTGTGTGGATTCATGAAGGTCCATACAGGTTAACACCCATTAGTACATCCATCCATCAGTCCGTCTCATTAGGTAGGTCGAGGATATATAAGCCATATCGAGGCAAAACGAGTGCCACTTGATAACTGGCACCGTAACATTTTAGCTTCTGGTGTCGTTTAGACTTGATAATAACCACTCACTTCAGAAAATGTTTTGCTGAGCTTCGGGTGACGTGTGTGAGTTGTCAGCTGGTGTGGTGATCCCGAGCCACCAGTAGCCCGTGAGGAGGAAGGATTACTCAACACACTGCCAATATTTACACACAGACAGACGAGGGCAAGACATAACATGGCGGCAGTGCAGCTGTGTTGTGCTGGGGTTACTGGGGTACCTCTGACTCACTCAAAACAAAGATCCTCCTTGAAAGCGCTCCACTCATTGGCGGAAAGACGGCCAATCGAAAGAGTTTTTCGAATAAGTGGAAACCAATCACGAAAGAGAAACCACTTTGATGGAGTTTGATAGGCTAACAACTCCCTCGTTGATGTCTTTGACAAGCTCACCACACTGACGGCCAAACACTCTTGATGGATGTTTAGGCTGCAGTGATGGGGAATGTATACGGGAAACGAACATCTGTATCTCACCATAGTCCAAGTCTTCAGTTGCCTTGTAAGTTGACAAGTGCGAAAACGACAAAGTACAGTAGAGGAAGTTCTGATACGAGCCGCTCTTTTTATCCTTATGTTAAAATGTACACACTAACGCATATTAATATTGTTAAAATGTATACAGTAACGCCTATTAATAAGTACAGTACCTACAGACTGGATCAATGTCTTCATATAATGGTTACTGGTGTTAAGTACCAACCTTTGTATAACCCTTGTAGTGGTCTCATCCATCATGGTTTCGCAAATTAATTACCTTTACTTTTATCCTCTTCACCACTGATCGGCTCGTTAGCCGCTTGGGCGATCGGTCAAATCTCTGTTACGCACTTTTGGCATGTACTGGGCACGCACTGGCTCCTGAATGTATCTGAACCTGCTCCAGTGTTTATCAAGTCTGGTCTTGAAAGAGCTCACACTCGGTTCCGTCACAACACTTTCTGGCAGATTGTTCCAAGAGTTCACAACTCTTACTCCGAAAAAGTTACCCCTCACAGTTTTCTAAACTTGCGGCTTCTTTAAGCTTGAGCTGTAACCCCTTGTGGGGCGAGCGTCCGCCAGCTCCAGGTAAGGGCACTCGACTGAGTAGTGCCCTTTGAGATGCTTATACACCTCATTAGGTCTCCCCTTGCCCGTCTGTAGTATAATCTAGGCAATTTCAAGCGCTCTAATCTCTCATAGTAGCTGAGGTGCCGTAGTGCAGGCACCAGTCTGGTAGCCCTCCTTTAGACATTTTCAATCAACTGACAGTCCCTAGCGTATATCTCTGGAACCAGACGGGTGACACTACTCCAGACGGGGAAGAACTTCACTCTTGAAGATCGTTATGAGGGACGGACCGTCTAGATATCTGAACGACTTTCTTATAAGACCTAATAATTTAGTTGCCTGATTCACCTTCTCGCAATGGCCCGAGAACTTCAGCTTATTGTCAACGTACACACCTAGGTCCTTTTCACATTCAGTCTCAATTAATGCAGTTTCTTTGTCCCGTTGCGACATGTGATACGCCTCCTTACCGTTGGTATGTCCCAGGTGCAGCTTCTTGCACTTCGCAACATTGAATCTCAGCAGCCATTTTCTGCGACCATTCTTGAAGCTCACAGAGATCCTTCTGCAGCTCTTCACAGTCTGCTTGGTTCTTAATTTCCCGAAATAACATGGCGTCATCCGCAAACATTTGTATGGAGGAGTGTACAGCATCAGGCATGTCATTTATGAAGCAAACAAACAACAACAGGCCTAATGCACTGCCCTGTGGTAACCCGCTCTACACATGATGATTTCGTGCCATTAATCACCACACACTGCATGCGGTCATGTAGAAAATCTCCGATCCACGCTAGGACATTTCCCCGAATCCTGCACCCTTCCAGTTTAATTTTCAGCCTTTCATGGGGTACACTGTCGAAAGCATTGGCAAAATCTAGGTAAATATTGTCGATATTACCACCCCGTTCCAGAATTTGGGTCCAAATATCCAGTACCTTGAGTAATTGTGTTAAGCAGGAGCACCCCGGCATAAAACCGTGTTGGCAATCCTTTACAAGGTTGTTTCGTAGCAGATGTTCCATCATGGCATCTTTTATAATGTTCTCAAGTACATTGAACCCGTTACTTTTCCATTTGAAGAGAAAAACTATAAATTTCGAAAAAAAAAAAACATCCAAATTATATACCTGTACTGTGGTGATATTTGGTCTCAAGGATAAATGTTAACTTCTCTCGTACACACAAAGGCTCCAAAAACAATTCGATGATATATTGAAATTTTACCAATTAACAGTTCTCGAATATTTCACGATTTCATCCAGAGATACAGGCACAAATGTTGTTCCAGTTCCAGGAATTGGCACGGTTCCAGTCACTGCCAAAACTCCTGGAATCGACTGCCTATTCCATGTATATAATGTATTACAGATGGTTAGCACATCATTTCCGCACTTATACCTGGCACATGACACACTATATCTGACACTTGACACTTATATCTGTTACTTGGCACTTATAATTTATATCTGGTACTTTACACTTATATCTGGCACTTGATGCTTACATGTGGCGCTTGGCACTTATATCTGGCACTTGGTACTTATATCTGGCACTTGGCACTTATATCTGGCACTTGGCACTTATATCTGGAACTTGACACTTATATCTAACACTTGGCACTTAACGCTTGACTTGTATCCGGCACTTGGCACTTTTATCTCGTAGTTGATTTATATCTGACACTTGACACTAATTACAGCCATTTAACAATTATTCCAGACACTTGAAACTTATTCCAGAGAGTTGATACTTATTCCAGGCACTTAGCACTTACAACAGGTACTTCAAGGCACAGTCTATATATCGTTCCACGTGTAGTTAGATATTGACTTACTTAGTGATACCGAGAGCCCCAACCATTGGCACTGTTCCAGACAGAGATACACTTCTAGGAACTGACACAATTCCAAGCATTGGTGGGGTCCAGGAATTAGCTCAGATCAAGACAGGGAGAGACTGAGTACATTATGAACTGGTGAAGTTTGCCTTACAGGTATTGGTATATCCTGATTGTGTAATGTGCATATTCAGGCACACTTACACTGTATTAGTCCTGTCAGAAGCTCAGTGACAGGCGTGAACACATGCTATTGCTACAGTATAGGAATCACCTTGGTTCTGATTGTGAGCCAACCCAGTAACAAATACAGGCCTAGCACAAGCACAGTACAGGTATTACCTTACAGTAGGTAGAGGACTTAAAAGACTGTCCAAGTTCTCTCACAGCACACACAATGGTATAGTTCAAGACTAAAGTACAATTCCAGGGATTATATCCCTTTCAAGATATAATATAGTTCTAGACATATGACCTTTTCCAAACATAAGGACAGCTTCAGACCATCGAATACTTTCGGTTTTATTGTCCTGGGGAGTAGTTAGTCTATACGTGTTAGATTCGCCTTTTATCACGGATTGTATCACATTTCCTGGCAAGAGAACCCTTTCAGATCTCAGAGGAGGACAATTTAATCCATCTCTGTATTTTATCTATATTTTCAGGACCAGATTGGGGAGGTTTTGGACGCCATGTTTGAGCGGCGAGTAACGGAAGGAGAGAACGTCATCAAGCAGGGCGATGATGGTGACAACTTCTATGTTATAGAGTCGTAAGTACCTCTCTATCCTTTGGTGGGATTGTTATACAATATTGTACTTTATATTTTAACATCATGAGGAGTTGTAGGGGTTAGTGTTTAGCTCTGAATATCAGAAATTCACAGTTCACACGTTTTTCTTCTCCTTTATCTGGGTATAAGAATATGCAACTAGTTAAGATAGAATCTTTGTTGTATGATTTTGACATCATAGATTCTCAGGATTCCTAAAGATTTGTTCTAGGCAAAATTTTAGACGTGCATAGAACCTTTCTGTATTCTCAACTTTTGTTGTTTAGCTTAATTCAACCAGTCCGGCACATTCTTGCATCTTCACATAACTAATGCCAGACGATTTATTCAGCTGAGGGAAACCCTTAGTAATTAGAGATAAGTGAAAGGATTAAGAGAAAAAATTGATGATATAAAACTTGTCCCAGTAAGATGTCTCTCCACTATGAGAAAAAAATATATAAAAAGAAGTTGTAGCAATGACACAGTTCTATCTCTCATAATTTTAATTGTTGTTGGACTTGTGTATTACTAACCTTGTTCCTTGCTGAAAGACTGTCATTGTTGATGCACAGTATTAACAATATAACAACAACAAACAGTAATGACTGTTATCCACCAGGGGGGTGTACAACATTTTCGTCAAGTCAGACAGTGATGCTGAGCCTCGTCTAGTGGGCAAATATGACAACTCCGGTAGCTTTGGGGAGTTGGCCCTTATGTACAACCTGCCCAGGGCTGCCACCATCCAGGCCGTGACATCAGGGGCTCTCTGGGCCATGGAGCGACAGACCTTCCGCAGGATATTACTAAAATCTGCCTGCAGGAAGAGGAAGATGTATGAGGCGCTGCTAGAGAATGTGCCCATGTTGAAAACTTTGGAGGTAAGTCTCACCTAAATTTGGATGTCATGAGTTGTTAGAGAAATTTTTCTAGGTAGAACAGTGAGTTTATGATGCACTTGTAAGTAAGGAATTTTACCACATTAGTATATAGTGGTTTTATGAAGTACAGTACGAGTCCTTAACCCTTTGTGAGTACGAGTACAGGTAATGGGCTTTATCCCCAGAATGTGTCGTCCTCATAAAGGGACTTTACCTACTGAGTGTGTAAATTTGTGGGTAACAGATGCTTTTTCCCTGGGTATGTGGTGCTGTTTTGAGTACAGTTAGGGATTTTAATTTCAAAATTTTTAGTGGTCATATGCATAAACTAAAAGACTTTAGTCAACAGCCTTTCTCACACATTTTGTTTTGATTAAATTAAGCAGTGTAATAATACCCTTAATCATTATTTGCATTAGTATTTGTTGAAGGAAATCATAATACGTACTGTAACTTGCCTTATATTTAATTAAGACATTACTGTATAACTTTCCTCGTAATTTATATGTTACTGTGTAAGAGAGTCACTGGATAAACCTCTTTCAAGAGGACTTTTTTAATAATTTGTACTGTATATCTTGTACAGTATAGGCAAATTAATACTCTATTATACTGTACTCTGCTCATGATTTACATGTTTCATTGAAAATTAATTGCCATTAACAGAAATATGAGAGGATGAACCTGGCAGATGCCCTGGTGCCAAAAGTGTATGCTCCTGGTGAGCAGATCATCATGCAGGGCGATTCTGCTGATGGCATGTACTTCCTGGAGGATGGCACCGTCAGGATCATGATGGCCAAAGAAAATAATGAGGAGAAGGAGGTAGGTTACAGGGTAAAGAAGCTATTTTGTTTATCACAACCAATACTGTACTGACACAGGAATATTTGTGGTTGCATATTACAGGCATGGGTAAAAATTAGGTTTGATTTGACTCTAGTATTACAGGTTGACAACCCTTTATCCGAAATTCCGAAAACCGAAAAGCTCTGAAAACCCAAAAAAAAATTTTTGTAGCAATTTTTTGGTATTAGCCCACCCGGGCACAGGTCACTGATCCATATCGGGGCCGGGGGGGTGAAAATGTAAGAGTAATAATAATTATAATAATACAGGTAATAATAATAATAATAATGATAATACAGTAATAATAATATTTATTTATAGTAAATAAAATTTTTAATAAAAAATACACAAAAATAAAATAAGAATGATAACAATAATAATAAAAATAAAAATAATAATAATAATAATAATAATAATAACAATAATACTGTAATAATGAAATAATAATAATAATAAAGAAATACAAGAATGAAAAAATGATCAAAAGTGAGAAACATGACCTTGACCTATGAATTATTATTATTATTATAATAATAATAATAATTATTATTATTATTATTATTATTATTATAATTATAATTATAATTATTATTATTTTATTATTATTATTTAATTATTATTATTATTATTATTATTATTATTATTATTATTATTATTATTATTATTATTATTATTATTATTATTATTATTATTATTATTATTATTATTATATTTTAGCCTCCAGGCTCCAATGTGGGTCAGTGACCTGTGCCCGGGTGGGCTGATCCCTGTAAAAAAAAAAAACCTCCGAAATCCGAAAAATTCCAAAAACCGAAATGCATCTGGTCCCAAAGATTTCGGATAAGGGATTGTCAACCTGTATATTTCAAATAATACTTTTTTTTGTACTTTTCCCTAAACAGTACAGTACATTACTGTATATCAATTTGAATATAAGATATATTAATTGTTATACTTGTTATGTATTCATGACATTTGAATAAAGTAATCCCATGATTATTGATACTATGTAGATCAGCCGGGTGTCCGTTGGTGGTTACTTTGGAGAACTGGCCCTCGTCACCAAGAAAGCACGAGCGGCTTCAGTTTATGCTGTTGGGAAAGCTAAATTGGCATGTAAGTACAGACTGGTATTTGATCTTCATTTAGGACATATGTACTCTGGAAAGACTATTGAAATAACTTGCCAACAGTGCATAACAGACGTAACTGACCCCTCAAGTGGCTAGCGAGCCAATCAGTGGCCAAGAGGATAAAATAAAAGTAAAGAGACCTGCTTTTGTAAAGCAAATGGACATCTTCCCTCCCAGCTTTCTTGTCTCACAGATCTGATGAGTTGTGTCTTGTGTTCTAAAATTTGCCATAAAAATCATCATTCAGTTTTCATTCTCCATCACTACTATTCACAGAACCATCAACATTAGCAATCTTATCTAACTTCACCTTGCCACTGTATTAGTAGATATCATCAGCAAACAGCATTCTTACTTGCAAGTGGGAGTACAGTACAGTACTGTACTGTAGTACCATAGTCAAGTAACTTCACCAGAAGATGCTCATTATTGTCACATTCTGACTTTACACTCCTTTATTTACATTAACTACATTAACTTAAGTCTATGATGTTAATAATTAAGTTGTGCTGCTGATACCTGAGGTGAATTTTTTTCTTTGCTCTCAAATACCCTGTAGTACAACATAAAACAAAGATGATTGTGTATAGAAATATGGTCTTGTTTTTTATTAAAACCACAAAAAATAAAAGTTTTTGTTTGATTTGTTTCTTAATTACTCATGTTCTGAATATTGTACTGTACTGTACTGTATATGCTTGGAAATGTCTAGATTCAACAGATAAAGTCATCTTGTAAAACAATAGTGTTGTGTATGAATAGAGACACATTTCTGTTTAAGAACAACAAAGCTGAATGCAAAAATTTAACTCAGAATGAACAGCAGTGACATTAGGTGTCTGTAGTTGAAGAGATAATTAAAAAAAAAGATTTTATTTCATTGTATAGTAATGTGCTCTTTGAATTTCAGTCCTGGACGTGGAGGCCTTTGAGCGTCTTCTTGGGCCGTGTATGGATCTTATGAAGCGGAACATTGAAGACTATGAGAATGAGCTTCTTAGGATCTTCGGCTCGAAGGCTAACATCTCTGACATCCGATGAAGTAGTATCCAACATTTTTAGTACGTCAGTCACCAAATCAATGCGTCTGAGAGTCATGGGTGTTGGAGGAACTGGTGTTTGTGCTTCAGTCATCATGCAGGAGGCAAAAGTTGATCAATTGATGTTGGAGATGATCATACTGATTAAGATGAAAAAAAGATGATTGTTGTAACTGCGTAGCTCTTGTTAGCTTTGGGTTTCCTTAGTGTCCATGCCTTTGGCCGAGCTGGCATGACGACTGGGGTTGTTGATGTCTTATCCATGTTTGCCAAGGGCTGCTTAATAGGAATTAAACAAAATACAAATATTATACTTATTTAGCAACATTGGGTAGTTTCTCAGTTGATTGATGATTGTGATGATTAAATCTTGTCTATGGTTCTTATCAACTTCAGTGAGTCATTAAAACAAGTACAGTATTGATTCTAATATTATTTTGTTGCAGGAGCTGTAGTTTGTTATTCAGGATATAACTATCATATTCAAATGCCCAAGAGAAAAGAGAAATAATTTTTACAGTGAAACACCTCAGTAATACAGTGGAACAGTCCTATTAAAAGATACAAATTAAAACTGCACCACAGAAACCTATGTGTATGGCGTTGAGCTTCCTTTGGTGTCAGTTTCATCCACTCAGTGAGGATGTTGCCACCCACACAGAGTTGCTTCACTTGTTAAATTCATCTTCTTTGCTTAGACACTTTGGTCTTTATTCTGAACAGAAAATGTCATTATTATTCTTCTTTGTACAGATTATTGTCTTTTTGTCTAGTGTATAAATCTTATTCATACATTTATTTAATTAATGTCAGTAACTTGATAGTTTAGGACAATTCCCAGGTACTGTACTACTATTTTGCCCTTTGCAAGGTGCTACACTTATGAATATACTACATTACAGTACTGTATATCAAAACTCTGCTCGATGGCCTGTCACTGACTTTTTAATGATAATAACTTACCTCCCACTTTCGTATTTTTCATGGGGCCAAGAAACAAAAGTATTGTAAAGATACTCTCCTCTGACTACCCTGTATAGTTCATGGTGGTTTCTCCTCCTCAGTTGTCGTATATGAACGAAAGAAGCCTTCTACTACTTTTTATAGTTGGAGTGTGTTAATTGTTGGGAAAAAATCTTCGTTATTGTTTCTCAGTATTAATAATTATTTTCTGAGCAATTTTAGTGCCCTGCATCATAGTCTGTAGGCTGTTAAATGTACCCTGGTAAAGTGGTAGACTTGTCAGTGTAAAAGGTCCCATAATTCCAGAACTCGATCTTGCATTCGTCTTCGTTAGTTAAACAACCAAAATGCTCACATAAATGGTTCAGGCAATCATATGGTGCAAGTTCACCAGACTGGAGCATTTTTTTGTTTTCTAAAGAACTGCTAAGTTTGTTTCTGGAATCTAGCAGGGCTAAGTCACAACTAGCGTATTACCCCAGCATCTAAACCTATGTTTTCCAAAAACCTTGTTTAGGAAAAACATTATTACATATTAATTGTTCATTGCTTTCATTAATATTTTCCATCACCAGCTGCATATATATATATATACATACTGTATATATATATACAGTATATATATATATATATATATATATATATATATATATATATATATATATATATATATATATATATATATATATATATATATATATATATATATATATATATATATATATATATATATATATATATATATATATATATATATATATATATATATACTGTATATGGGAAAGAACAAAAGAGCCAGAGGATATATGATTATATTATTCACACAAATATAGAATTAATTTTAAAAAGCAGTTATAATGTAGACCAGTATTCACTTGCTCAAAATATTTGCCTAAGCGGTTTTTTGCACCATCATTTCAGAAGCACAGGTCATAAATGCGTTACAGATCACCCAGAGACTAGACTGATTGAGGTCAACTGGATGGGTCAAGCAAGGTCAACGAAGCAGGTCAGTATCAGTTAGAAGACCTGTAGATCACCAGGAAGACATAGGTCAGTTAGACCAAAGGGTCAGTAGGTGGGCCAATACACACAGGCACCATGAAGTTTAGAGACAGGCTATGGTCATCTCAGTGACCTAATATATAGTATGATACAGTATACTGTATAATAAAAGTCAAAGAGTGAACTGGCAACATTCACTGCACTTGAAGACTAGGGATATTAAAATCACTTTTGAAAATCTACCCATCTTTCTGTACCATACATGATTTTAATTGTTGTAGGAAAGCATACTGCAGATATTGGACACAATGAATATAAGTATCTTAAGTTATATGGGGCTAAGATTTACAACAGACTATAATTAATAAATATGATCTAGTTTTGATGGGTGACAACCAAATCAAAATCTTTTGAATAATCTGGCTATTATTGCATAATGTACGTTACTTAGTAGACCAAATTTAATGACAAAGAATAACTAAGATGCTTCACAATTCAAACATTCTTGTTGTTAGACCAGAACTGCATTTATAAACATTTCAGTGTCTGTCATTGTAGATATTATGTGACAAACATTTTCACTATGAGAATTAAAATTTTCGTAAGTTTAAAAACAAGTGGTGAAATTTATAACACAAGAATTATTCATTATAAAAATTTCACCCATGAGGATGCATATACTGTGTACAGTATCTGAGTTTCTAATTGAGGGCTTTGAGAATGGCCAGTTTTATATAGTACAGGTATGTGTAAGTAAAGGCACAGAAATTATATGCCTCATGATCAACAGAAATTTTTAAATGATTTTCATAAACGTACTGTATTAAGCACGTCAGTTACTCATAATTAAGGATATCAGCTTTTGTTCAAGATGTCCTGGTAATTTTATGTATAATTAGCACTTAATTATTATAATTTTGAATTTCAGCATGATACACTACCCTTGGTTAATAAAGACTTTGCAAAATGTGATCCTGATCTAATGTAATAAAAGTATCCAATGGATATAAAGTGATATTTTAATACAGATTTGTGTATCAGTCTTGCTTATATGTTAGCTAACTTGTCACTTCATTCAATGAGAGTAAAAACATTTGATGGTAATGAATTTAATATATTTCTTTTGGCACTGATAAAGGAAAAATCTTGTTTAGAAATATACTGTAATTAGTACATGATAAGCCCCATAGTAATTCACACAGAAGATTATATAATCTATGCTGTTGTAAGCATTATAGTTAATATCCACTTGTGAAATCTTGGCAAATTAAGAGTTGGCCATGGTATTCCTGCAAAGGTTAGGGATCTATTTTTCAGCAAAAAAGTATATATATAAATTTATTGATACTGTGAAGCATAGATGTTGTCAAAATGTTTTTCAAAGAAGTCTATATGTCACCAAACACCTCTATAGTTTGAAACATAAGCTGTATTTGTTAATATAAGGAAGAGTCAGTAGTAATATAGATGCCATTGTCAGCCAAGATGTATGCAAAACCTACTCAAGTTTGCAAAACCTACTCAAGTTGCTTTCCAGCAAGTGAATAGCACCTCTTCATATTCATGAAGCAGGTATTATTCACTGGTGTTGTTCACAGCTGTTATTTGCAGGTGTTGCTGGATAACGTATGATAAAATCTCTTGATTTATGTGGGATGAGCAATCAGTGTGTGTCCAGATTCATCTGTAGATGGTACCTCCTAGATGACTTCACCTTCTCATCATCAAAAAATTCCTAACCTTGCCCATAAAAAGTCAGAGAGAATCATCTGTTTCTTAAATTATGTAAAATAAAAAAAGGCTCTCTGACTTTGTGTTGGGTGAGAAGAAATATAAGAGCCTATTATATTTTTTCACTATTCCTTCTATAGACCTATCATCATGAAATGCTATTGTGAGAGTAGTCTCAATGGCTTCTTTCACTGCCCCTTCAAATACTATATTTACCTACACACACACACACACATATATATATATATATATATATATATATATATATATATATATATATATATATATATATATATATATATATATATATATATATATATATATATATATATATATATATATATATATATATTTATAAGACTATAGGCATTTTTTTCATCTGTTCTGCATGTTCTATATTCTGAAAGTTTCTTTCATATCAGAAAATAATAATAGAGTGGCATGGAAGATGTGAATCCCTCGACTGGTTACATGGTGGTGTTCTACATCACAGTGTAAAAGTGAATGTTAAAAAATTACATAAAAATTGTAAATTCATATCTGAAATACTTCCTTCACAGTTGTCTAATTATGAAATTGAGTGTGTACTTTTTCCTGTTTATGGCTGTAAATGAGCACTCAGTCAAAAGTGATAGTACTGTACTTGGCTTGTATACTGTACATGAAATGTGGAACATTTGGGATGTAGTGATAAAAGTTACCGAGGGATATGAACAGCTTATTTAATTATGTGTTGTGGTAAGGTCTGTTTCAGGTCAAATGTCTGACTCTACCAATGCAATACTAATTGAAATTTTCTAGAAGATAATAATGATGATGATAAGAAGTTATAATTTTCAAAACATGATCTGAATGAAATAGTTTCTACTTGAATTGAATGAGATATGGTAGAGTCTTCACAAGTCCATTGAAGGAGATTCAAGTCAAATGATATGATGGAGGTATAGTGTGTTCTGATTCCCCTGTCTGCCTGTGTATCTTTAGCCCACTTTCATGTTTCATGATAACATGAATATAGGCACTTCATACACCTTAACATTATTTCAAATTGTTTTTAGCCAGTAGTATTTTTTTTTTATCAATGCCTTAAATGGTTTTGTTGTCATGACATTGGTTCACTCATACAGGTGGCTTACAGTTATAGACAGTGATGAACCACATGTTACTATGGTGATAGCTTGTAATGTGATAATCCATCATGTGATAATGAGGCTTGCAGGATTTATCATGTTCATTTGCCATAGTTTTCACTCTGGTTAGTACAGTATAACTTGCTTCTAAACTATTTCTATGGGTGTATTTAACTTCTCATAGCCTGATGTAATTCTCACATTACATCTTTACTTTTATAACATCTTCATATTTAAGGTTTTTGAATTTCCTCTGACTAGATACTGGCTGTAATGCAACTTACTGCTAATGCTTGTTGTGATTGTATAATTTATGAAAGTATCCAGTGATATGATGCTGTGGCTTATGCACAAGCCTGAGAAATATGGGGTAATAATGGACTGGAGATGGTCACCATTTTCATATAAGTAGTAACCCTTCATTTGACATTTCTTGTTTTCATGAGTAAAATCTTCATTCTCTTTGTTCCCGTATTTTATATTAAGTATAACTGGGGGCAATATATCTTCCACACACACTGCATAAAAGAGCAGAAAACTGAAGTAATGGTTCCATCACTTACATCACTGGTTTCAAATGACTCAATCAATTTAAACAAATTACAAGACGTAGCATGAGTAACATTACAAGTATCCACGCGGGTTACTCCTTATAGTAATGCCACATAGTAAGAGGGATGAGGAGGGCAGTCAAAGATGCAGTTTGATATAGATTAAAATTTCCTCCTAAAAATAAACTTGTTAAGATATATAAATATATATAATATATTCTTTTCCAATACCTGACTTTGTGTGTAAAATATACTTGTATAAATAAACATCAAGTGAAAACGTAAAATTGTTTCAACCCAATAGTGTAAATGAGAAACTTCTGTGCAATTTTATATTGTGCTATTTATGTTCTTAATGTAATATATAACAGGAATAATAGATATCCTTCATGCCCATTGACTTGGTTTTATGATGAGGTGAAATAAATGTGCAAGACATTTATTTCTCTTCTGTATCATATCAAAAGATTACGAGCAGCTGATGGGTGAATGTCACACTTGCCACATCCACTCCATGATTTATTGGTTTACATATATATTTTTTTCATATCTGTCATTCTTTACATAAGTGTTTTGGATAAAAAAAATTATTCACTGTTTCATCTGCGAAAATTTGTGATATTATGATTAGCCATTGTTTTAATTTGGGTTAGATAAATTTATAGGGTAACTTCCTCTATGTTGCAATAATACTGAGTTACTTATAGAAATTTATTGCAGTTATACATTGTGGTAAACAAATTTATACACTACTCAGTACGGTATTGCAGTGATACCAAATGGATCTTCATATGAACATAAGCCATAAAAAGGAGCACAATACTCATTACAGAAATAAAGTAACACAAGTTCATGTATTTTGCTCATAAAGAGAGTTAGTTTCCCTTCTTCATTTTCCTTGGTTTTCTTTGTACCCTGTTAGAGAAAATGAGTGTGAAAGTCCAGGTGTAGGATTTTGTAAACATTAGATGAAACTAGTGTATACCCAATGACCATTGTGACATACAATAAATGCTACAATAACAATTGATTGCTTTCATTATTTTCCTTTGGGCACATATATTGGTAATTATTCGTTTTTTGCCCATTCCTCTCATTTGATATGAGAAATTATTTTTCTGGTGTATTTTGGTGCTTAGTTTTAAATATACTTACCCTCAAACATAACAGGTTAGGGTCATCTTGTACCCAAGATAAATCGTACGCAACTCACGAGATAAGTCATACCCAAGATTACTTACACCCAATTCAAGTGATAATCCATACCTATTAGTATATATACCATGCATTTTAGCTTTCCCTATGATTACAAAAAAAGATTATGTAAATCTTGTAGATAAGTGCAGTGAAATTGGGAAATGTAATGCAGGTTTTAAAATGTTTGCATCTCTTTACTAAGCACAGTGCATCCTATTATAACGTCGTCCCGCTTAACGTTGTTTCGGTACTACGTCGCTAAACTTTAGAGACCAAAAATTCGTTTAATGTCCCAGGGAACCGATACTACTTTGTTTTGCGTCGTCACAGACTACTTTCTATGGCGCATAATCCGCTCTTGTCTGGCCGCGCTACGCTCTCTCGGCTCGGCGCACTGCCCTCACTCGCAGAACGTTACAGCGTCCCTAAGCGATGCCAAGCCAGTCTCTGCTACGACTTCACATCATTCGTGTGTGCTTAAGTGCTTTTGCTCTAAAATTTACTTTAACCATTCAAAATGGCTTTCCAAGTGCCCATCAAGTGCTACTGATGCTAGTGCAAGTGAGGAGGCAACATAAGACCATTACCCTTGCTATGAAAATGGATGTATTAAGCCAATTTGGTAAATGGGAATGCATTGTGAACGTAGCTGCTGTGCTTGGTCTAACCCCCACAATGGTGCGTACTATTCGGACCAACGTTGACAAGATTAAGGTTAGTGCTGGAAGTGGTTCTTCTCTGAGTGCTACTAAGACAACTCGTGCTAGAAGCACTGTGATAGAGAAGGTGGAAAAGATGCTGGAAATGTGGATGGAGGACCAGAATCAACGCAATGCACCTGTGAGCCTTATGGTTATCCAGCATAAGGCCAGATCCTTGTTTGACTACGTAAAGGAAGAAGAGGGTGAAGGATTGAAGGAAGAGACCCTTACGGTCAGCTGAGGCTGGTTTCAACGACTTAAGCATTGTTATAATTTTCCACAATATTAAGATGGTGAAGCTGCCAGTTCAGACATGGTTGCTGTCGATACATTCCCGCCAGAATTCAAACGGATTAACCAGGAAGGAGGATACTCATCGAAGCAAGTCTTCAATGTGGTCTCTTTTGGAAGAGGGTGCCTGAGAGGACCTATATCTTCAAGGAGGAGAAAAGAGCCCCAGGTTTTTAAAGCGGCAAAAGACCGTTTGACGCTGCTGTAGCATGGTTACAAGCGTGATGTAGAGAGAGAGAGCTGGTTGGTGAGGATGCTCAGAGGAGGACCAGCCTGTGGGTCACCATGCTCTCCGGCGGGAGCGAGGGCCGCCAGGCAGCGGCGGAGGAGGAAGTGTTGCTGGCTGATTGGTGTAGGTAGAAAGAGACAGGTCACCACGAGGTCAGGTCTTAAATAGCAGGGGGTAGGCGTGGCTTAGTAGTTGACCCCCGCTCCGTGATGTATGGCGGCGCTGGTTGACCTAGACCACGAGGCATACACTGGGGAATTGGTGGGGTCGGCTACTCAGCGACAAACAGTGTTTGTAGGGGAGAAATCCACTTCACTGCTGCTTGGCGCGAACGCTGCTGGTGACTTCATGCTGAAGCCGATGTTGATTTCTTGCGCTGCTAACCCACAGGCCCTGAAAGATTACCCTAAAGATCACCTTCCTGTCATTTACAAGGCAAACAAAAGGCATGGGTAACCGGCGCCATATTTAGCCAGTGGTTAAACGTGATCGCCGTTCCTGCAATGAAGGAATACTGCGCCAATGCCAATGCAAATTCATTTTCACATAATTTGATTTGGCAAACTTGTCACTTCGGAAGAGTGCAGTCTTAGTACAGTTAATCGTACTTGCCTAGATTCTGGCCATTGTAGACAATATAGACAGCACTTCTCTACACTGACTTCCACTTCCCTTACTGTAAAGCTCGAAGAGGACAGGATAAAGTATCATGGCTGAGGGTTTTAGATAAATCAATATTTGTTGGAATTATATCGAGGATTTGTGCAGTAACAGCTGATTGTTCTATTAATGATTCTGAAACGATTGTCAAGACCAATTTAATAATTTTTGAGGTTGTTAGACATAATTCAGCATCATATTCCTAAAATAAAATTTTAACTGGTATACTGTAGCCAATAGTGTGCGTGCCACCGAACAATACCTCCTGGGTTCGAGCCCGAGGATAGATAATAAAAAAATGTTCTCTAATGTATAAACGTTTTAATCACAGCCGTGTATATATATATATATATATATATATATATATATATATATATATATATATATATATATATATATATATATATATATATATATATATATATATATATATATATGTGAGTATAGTCTGTACTACACCTGAAGATGTGAATTACAATGAAAGCGCTTGGGAACTTCTGTGTTTTCTTTCCTTCTGGTTATCAGCATATACAGTATATACACCTCACACTCACAGCCTACTATGTATATATATATATATATATATATATATATATATATATATATATATATATATATATATATATATATATATATATATATGATAGTATTACTAGGTTAAATAAATTATAAATTATTATAAATAGTCTAGCATAATATATAGGCCATTAAATCACGTTTTTTTAGCCTAATTAATAGAGGGTAAAATGCGGTAAAGGTAAAGGAACGGCGCACGCTCAGAAACCAGAATATTAGTAAATAAACAAATTTACCTCGGTAGCGAAGCTGTCACCTTTGCTCGTTACAAATTATACACAACTACAGTACCACGTTACCTATGTATGGGAAACAGCAGATGCAGGTATGTGCTTATTTTAATTCTAGTAACTAATTTTCTAAAGTTAATAGAGCAGCAAAGCAAATATACGGCTGGTGACCGCCAGTGGTTAAGTAATTATGAGAGAAAAAAAAGTAATGAGTTTTTTTTAAGGGAGTTTTGGTAAAATTGCATTTTTGGACGATACCCCTATCCCCTAGTAGTTGAGCAATGTGTTTTTTCCGATTGATTAGACAATTTTCAGACACTTTTCTTCTATGAGGATTCCGATATATTTAAGTAATTTGCGAGGGATACGTTATAAAAGAAGTGTCTTAAAATTGTTTAAACAATCGGAAAAACACATTGCTCAACTCGAGATCAATATTTTCCGAAACTGCAGTTATACCACAGTTTTGTACACTGACTATGCTTTTCCTTCTATTCATTTTCGTGTGCAAATGCTTAGTTTTCTAGATATAGGCGAGTTAAGATATAGGTCAGGTTAGGTCATGTCAGGTCAGGTCAGGTCAAATTTTCTTAGGTTTGGTTAGGTTAGCTCATGATTTCATCCATCTTAATAATTTTCCCCTACATAATACAGTATTCCCTAATAAAATCAGTGAAAAATGGGGCGAAATTTCAGTCATGCACCGGTCTTTCTCTCGCTGTTATTAATATGTTTTTCGTAATGTTTAGACAATACTAATACTTTTTTCTTTTATGATATTTCCGTCGGAAATTAAGGATAAGCGATATATTAATTTTTCAATATTATTAGATATGGTCAGTCACAAGTGTCGCCATTTGTTGTTTACGTCTCACAGAGGTCTGACCACCCATCACACAGTGCTCCTTACCTCCGTGTTGGCCTCTTAAGCATCTATAGCTGGGGATAGTGTGGGAGTTTCTTATTGGCTATAGCGATAGGACACTTATAATTGGGCAAGAGTTTTTGTCTTATGAACAATACGTGGGTGCATCAGGAGCAGTGGGTACGTCGGGAGCGGAGATTTGATTTTTCAGTACCAGAATAACCAGATATGACTTAACAGGTGGAAAGAGCTGTGCCGATGTTGTGATAGAGATTATTTTACGTCAATTGCAGAGTTTCATCAGAAAAATAGTCTCAGGTCAGGTCAGGTCAGGTCAGGTCTGGTCTGGTCTGGTCTGGTCTGGTTGGTTGGTTGGTTAGGTTAGGTTTTGTTTTGTTTTGTTGGTTGATATTTTATTTACGTGATTTACTCAAAAATTAACATTTTCGTTAAGATTGATGGAGGCGTGACTTAAAAACTATTGATTTCTGGCTGAAATGAATATCAAATTCATTCAAAACTACTCAAATAACATTGGAAAACATATTTTTTAATATCCAAGCAAAGACCAGTGTATAAGTGAAACTTGACCAAATTGGGTATTTGTAAACCCAGTTTCAATGAAAAACAGCGGACGTTCACAATTCGAATAATTACGGGAGTAAGTTCTATTATGGGTATTTTTGCCTCTAATATATTTACTCCTGAAATAAACTAAGTTATAAATACTAATATGCTGAAATTGTGATTAGGAAATTGTTAATGTGGAATTAATGGCAATATCGACAATATATACTCTGATTTTGCCAAGGCTTTCGGCAGCGTACCCCATGAAATGCTGGAAATTAAACTGAAAGGGTACGGGATTCGGGGAAGTGTCCTAGCATGGATTGGAGACTTTCTCCATGATCGCAAGCAGTGTGTGTGGTGATTAATTCGATAGCCCACTAATTGTATAGAAATGTTGGTGACTGGGACTTAATTATACTGAATGATCTTGACAGCGTCACTGGGGTAGAAATCCATTTCAACGTGATTTGGTTGAAGGAGTTTAAGGTTAGGTACCAGAACATGGCGACCACCCACGCTGATTAACCCGACCTTCTCCCCTAGACCATTATCCGGTTTAGCATTTATACGGAGTCCTTTAACACGGCTTTAGAGGATTATGAACATTAGATTAACACCTAATCGTGTCCATGATCAAACCTTATAAGTGGTTGTTCCCAGTCGGCGTAATAGAGATGTCTCAACTGTGTACATCCTGCAGTATCCCA